AAAATCTTTTGTTTCTCACACAAATCAGTATACTATGACATTTTTTTAAGTTTATTTCACTTTTTTTAGTTTATGTCACTTTTTTATATTTATTTTCGCCAATAAATTCGTTGAGGTTCATAAAGAAAGTGGAATGTTTTGGAAGTATTACGGAGATGTTTAACTTGGACTTTTAGAAAAGTGACAAAGTATTTTGTCATGTTTGAACTGGGCAAATAATAACTCAATTGTGACATTGTATGTCATTTTTTAATAAAAAGGTGACACTTAACTTTAAAAAGTGACAGTAGATCACTTTTTTTTTATTGTGACAATTAATTTTATACAATATTTTTTACTTCCAAAATATATTTAATGTGATTTTTCTAAACAGGTTCCCCGGACGGATAAGACCTGTCCCATCTCCACTGATAAAGAACAGACTATAAATTGACTCATCTTTGAAAAAACAAACAAAACAAAAAGAAATCCGACTTTCATTACAATTTCTACATATCCGGTGGCTCCATCTTTCCCATAAGCTCTTTTTCTCTCTCTAAAACATTCTCTACTCTCTCTCTTCTCAACTGCTTCCATGTCTGTCCGAGGAGGGGTCAGTTTCTTTTCTAGATCTAAAATTTCTTACTTTGTTAATCTTTGTTTGTACTGAAAAAAATTATCTTTATGATGTGTAAGAATTTCTGGGTTTTTAATTTTTTGTTATTTTTTGCAGTTTTTGTTTGCATACTATGTGTTTTATGTTAAAATTTCAGTTAAATCATAAATGTATTCATCATAGATCTTCATAATTTATGTAAAATAATTTTAGTTTAGAAATTCATGATTGATTTAAAGATATTGTTACTTTTGTTTTATTTTGCTTTTCCTTTCTTTTTAAACTAATTATGAATTCATTGTTGCGTGCTGGCTTTGTAGTTTGTAATAAGAAAAATTGGTATTTTTTTTAACTGATTTTTAATGCTCTCTCATTTTTTATTAATTGTTAACCAGAAGGATCGAACATGCCTAGTTTATTGTTCTTTGGAGTTGTGGGATTTCAATTTTTATATAAAATTGGTANAAAAAAAAAAAAAGGTATTTTTTTTAACTGATTTTTAATGCTCTCTCATTTTTTATTAATTGTTAACCAGAAGGATCGAACATGCCTAGTTTATTGTTCTTTGGAGTTGTGGGATTTCAATTTTTATATAAAATTGGTACTGTATTCTTTTACAGACATGTTGGTTCCCGAATTGTTTGATGGAAACTGAAAATCAAGCCCGTTTGTTTAGTACTTTCTCTCGTATTATCATTATCTCTTGTTTTATAAATTTTTCGCTGTCTTGTTCTGCTGAGAATTGGTGATGGTTCAAAATTAACTAATGAATAAGTAATAAAAGAGCTATCGAGTGCAGTATCTAATTCCACTGTTTAGAATTCGTACTATATGGACCCTCCGTGGAATATAAGATAATGTTTTTTTATGGAACTTGTGATTTTGATTGGTACAAGAATTTTGACTAGTGGTCTATGGCTTCTAGGCAAATGCTTCATCTGGCATGGGTGTTGCTGATCACAGCAAAAGCACATACATGGAATTGCAAAGGAAGAAGGTGCATCGCTATGTGATCTTTAAGATTGATGAGAAGAAAAAGGAGGTCGTTGTTGAAAAGACTGGCAGTCCAGCTGAGGGTTATGATGATTTCACTGCATCGCTCCCTGAGAATGATTGTCGATATGCAGTTTATGACTTTGATTATGTCACTTCTGAGAACTGCCAAAAAAGCAAGATCTTTTTTATAGCATGGTATCTCTTACCCTTTTCATCCTCATTTATATCATAGGCTTTTGAGGTTATTATGTTTTTAACCTCCTCCACCCCTTCCTTGGTCATGCATTTTTTTATGTCATTATATCTTGTACGACAGCCTTTGTTTCCTATCCAAGATGAATCCCAGTAATTTGTTGCATATTTTTATCTACATTTTTAGCATGTTTGGCTTATAAGGTGCTTATAAACACATTAAGCTTGGCCAATCATGCTCGGTCAAATCATTCGACAAATTTTAGAGCCTACTCAGATGGAATTCCTTTTGATTTTCTATATAGTGCCTTTCTCTCCCCTGCCTGTGATAACATGAATTATTTTCACTTGACCTTCACCGCCTTCCGGAATAAAATGACAAGGGGAAGGGGGATATAAATAAAGTTTTATACTAAGACAGCATAATATATAATATTAAATAATAGGATTTACATTATTCAATATATTCTCGTAACTCATAAAGTGAAGATGCTAACAAGTAGAAGTTGCACTGGTTTAGGATAAACTGATAGAAGCATGGCACAAGGAAAGGTTTTATACTCAGACAATATAATATCATAGTAGGATTAGATTATTCATTTTATTCATCATAAAATGAAGATGCTAACAAGAAGACGTAGCACCGTTTTGGGAAAAATTGATAGAAGCACAACTTAGGAAGTTAGCGTAGACCTAGAGATTCTTGTGCAATTTTAGGAAACAAGTTAGAAGAAAGAGTGATAGAAACTAGCATGGCCTATTGTCATGTTATGGATCTACTGCTTTGGATCTTCCAATAAATCTAGTAATGAATCAAATAGAATGACGGAAATGGATTCATGGACCAACCTTGAAATTTATTGAGAACACGACTCTGTATTTTTTTTTTTGGCTGTACTCACTTGACCGATCAGTTAAAAGAGTAATTATATCAGATTTGACATTTTACTTTCAGGTCTCCTTCCGTGTCTCGGATCCGTGCCAAGATGCTTTATGCCACGTCCAAGGAAAGGTTCCGCAGGGAGCTGCAAGGTATACATTATGAGATTCAGGCCACCGACCCAACTGAGATGGACCTTGAAGTGATCAGAGAGCGTGCTACTTAAAATCTTTTGCCTTGTGCAAGATGGTATCTCGTCTTGGGCAAAAAGTGCTATACTTAGTATCGACATAAACAAATGTCTTCTATTATAGCAGTGTTAATGGCTGAATCATGTAAAAATAAATACGACACTGGGAAGGCTGATTAGAAATTCCGACATATATCCCAGATTGTGGGGTTTATGCAATTCCTCATTCTCATGATGCTTCGCAGACGAAAAATGCGAGGGATTATGGATGATAACAGTTTGACTGCTGATATATCATGTTAATGGTTATCTTCTTGTGATTTATAGTTTCTTGTTCGATTCCTTGTTCTTATCTAGCTTCTCATAGGGATTATACTGCGGAGTTCATTTCAGTTGAAGTTAGGTTTGCCATATGAACGATAATTTGCTGCAAGGATGTGTCGTGTTCATGTAAGCAATATGCAACTTTTATTAGCAACATACGTGTTTTGTGTAACCATATAAATATGCAGTCCATTTCGTCTACATTCCTCACTTGTGAAAGGTTAAAAACTCATTTCATATAGGCAATAAAAAAAGCTACCATTTTGAGTGTTTAGATAAAATTATGAGTTACTAATGTGATAGAAATAAATAGTGGATAAATGAGCAGTAGTTTTGAATTCTATGAGATGTAGTTATTGTATGAGTAAAAGCTTGCTTAAATATTCTTCCACACCCGGTCGTTCCAGGTTCAACAGACGGCAGCTAAAATAAAAACTGTCGATTGGCTGCAGAACTCATCAGAGTTTCCTATATGATTTAGGATTCAATTGTAGTTTGCAGGAATACCAAATTACAGTTTAAAACACAATGCATAAAACATATTTCAAAATTTAAAATTTAAATGAAGGAATCCTTTTCAGTAGGTCGACACACAAAAATATTGTGATTGAGTAATTAGTACTATTTTTATAATGTGGTAAATGTCATAAACTATAAATAAAAGAGAAGAAAATAGAGATAATTAATAGACTTATGCATATATTATTGAGAACTAAAGTTGTATATTTATAGGTAAAAAATGACATAATGGGTGCAAAATAATTATAAAAATTAGAATTACATGAATACAAGAATCATTCAATATTTAATTTGTATCATTCCTTTAAAAATACTCCTTTTGAATAGACTAATTACACAATCTGTTTCATTAAAAACCTTGCATGATAGAATCTATTGAGACAAAAAATATCAAAAGAACGAAAAAAGAGTAAATTTATTTTGAGTATTAAAACAAATGCTGCCTAATTAAACCTTATCAAGAAAATTCAATGTAATAAAACCTAAACGAAGGAAAAATAGTACAACTACAATCTAATGTTGATTACTGAAAATTTTTGAGTCGACACATTCCTATTTTGAGTACCAATTTCTTGAATGTAAACATCAACAATGCTTTTGTGAAAAAGTCGACCACATTATCACTTGAATGAATTTGTTGAGCATTGATGTTATCAATATTCTGCAAGTCGTATATCAAAGAATGTTAGAGAAATATTTTTTATATGTTCCAGAAATCCATTCCAGTGGGCATGATTTAACTAAAAATAAAATTTCGATACATCATAGTTGCCACCCACCACAAGTCTGCTTAAAAAACTCTTCGAGCTTGTTCAATAGAGATTTTTTGAAGTGAACGATGATTTTTTGGGAGAATGTTCGGTTAAAAAGTGGTTGAAAAATAGAGAAAAAATTATGGATCTCATAGAATGTGTAGTTGAAAAATGAATTTGAAAGAAAAAATTAATTTTCAAACAAGCTCTTAAATATTGTCTCAAGCGATAAGAAAATAAAGATGCAGTGGTCACGTCTGAAGCTGTTGGGTGAAAGTTGCTTCCTACAACTCGGTCTGTTTGGAGCAGATTATAAAAGAGGTGAAGAGCGGAGTGATAGTATTCAGATTACATTTACACCCAAACACTACACAAAATGGAAGACAGTTGGAAGAACTCACTTGGAACTTCTATCAAACATTTCAGTTGTATTACATTTACATAATTGTTTACATACATATTGTTGACCCCAAAAAATG